GCCACCCTCTATCACCCACAGAGCAGGGCGATCATGTGGGTTGGGGCGCCGCCACTGTCACACTCAGGGCAGGGCCGATGGGGAGGTTATGGCTCTACCCCGTCACACACAGAGCAGGGCCCGTGGGGGGGGGGGCGGTTGGGGCGCCACCCTCTGTCACACACAGAGCAGGGCCGATCAGGGGTTGGGATGCCACACCCTGTCACACACAGAGCTGCAGGGCGATCAGGGGGTTTGGGCGCTGCACCCTGTCATGCTGATCTGGTGCCAGGAGGCCTCGCGGCTCCACTGATCCCGGTGCTGGGAGGCATATTACCCTTTTACTATATAGGATAGAGGCCTGGGGGCCGGCTGGTTTGCCCTGAAGGATGTCCTGGATCAGGGTGGGGGTCCCCACTGGGGTGCCTGGCCAGCCTGGATGAGGGGATGATGGCTGTTTGCAGCTGGTCACACACCCTTCAGGGTGGGGGTCCCCACTGGGGTGCCTGGCCAGCCTGGATGAGGAGATGATGGCTGTTTGCAGCTGGTCACACACCCTTCAGGGTGGGGGTCCCCACTGGGGTGCCTGGCCAGTCTGGGTGAGGGGCTGAGGGCTGCTTTCAGTCTGGCGATTGACTGAAGCTCCCAACTGCTCCTTTTTTTCTTTTTTTTTTTTCTTCTGGGCCAGCTTTAGCTCTGGCTCTAGCTCTGAGGCTTCTGCTGCTGGTTTGTTTGCCGTTCTATAATCGAAACAATGTATAACTTCAGCTCTGAGATCCCAGCCGGCTATATTTGTTAGAATGTTTCAAACTGCCAGCTCAGAGGCCGGCAAGTCAGGCGGGGAACGTTGGAGTCTGCTGTCACGGGAGCAAGCAAGCCTCATGTTCGCTTCCAGCTGCCTGGCTGCCGGCCGCCATCTTGGCTGACAGTTAATTTGCATAAGGATATGCTGATTAGCCAATGGGAAGGGTAGCGGTCATACGCCAATTACCATTTTTCTCTTTTATTAGTGTAGATTACCTATTGTATTATATTACAACTGTAAACCTACTTTTGCCTACCCCGGTATTCTCCTCACAAAAATACTCCAAGGACAGCATTAACACTCCCATGTTATGGATGAGGAAAATGAACTTGAAAGAGATCACACTACCTAAGTGTACGTTATCTGCCAGGACTTGAACCCAGGTCTACGCTAAAACCCACTCTCTTCCACTGGCCAACCTTCCCATTACCCCCACATCCTATTACCAGAGCCCATATTTGCAACCGGGACCGATTCATCTGTATTCTGTGTGTTTTCGTGACCTTTCCTTTCTCTCAGAGAAAGAAAAAAATTCACCTGAAGAAAACATGTTCACTGGGTCGGAATCAAGGCCCCTGACCTTTTCCTGTTCCACTCGGCTCCTGACGTCCCCACCTCTCTCTGTGCCCGCTCCCGTCTCCCACACGCCCCCTGCTTGGTCCCCATGCTGCCAAGCAGCGGAGCAGCAGTAACACAGATTAGCTGCACAAATACCATAAAAAATTCTCATAATACCCTTATCCAAAGAAGTCCAACAGGGACCTTTACAGATGGAAAATCTTGCCCTTGCATCTTAGAGAAAAATCATGAGCTTCTGATTAAATGGAAGACTTTGAACTAGAAAAGACGTCGTATCATTTTGAAAACTCGTGTACAACTCAGGATGCACTCATGGCCAGTGAGATAAATCCGCTCTCCCCCAGCTCACCCAACCGGGGGTCCAGGGGCAGGGGACTCATCATGAAAGGGCTTGTGATTTTGTCTGGCGAAGACAGAGGGGAGGTTGGTACTTGGGTGCCTTACCCACCCATGCTGGCCTGCTTCTGCAGGTGGTGCCCCGTCACTCACCCAGCAGAGCCGTCTGGGGGTGGGTCCGCGAGTGTCTGCCTCTGGAGATGGACCTGGAGCGTGGCCGCTGCCTGGCCTCAGCAGGGAGGAGGAGGATCTGCCCGAGGAGCAGCAGAAAGCAGCCCACCAGCATCTTTTCCATCTTCAAGAACTGGAAGGGGGGCGTGGCTGTGACAAACACAACAGGAGAAGGGGGCAGGGTGAGATGTCTGGGTCTCCCGGGACCCTGGGTGCAGCAGACTGCCTCCCCGTCTTCTCGTGTTTCACACGGGCCGAGGGTACTTAAAACACCATCTGTGTGTGTGATCCTGAAGAACGCAGGCAACCAACCCCCACTGGTAGGTACTCTGAGCAGGGCACGCATAGCTGGAATTTTTCCTCACTTTGGTCACTATAAGACTGAACGGGAAACTGTAAGGGGGAAAAAAATCTATCCTGAAGTTTCTTCGCAATTAAGTTTACTATCAATTATTTGTAGTCCCATTCTCGATCTTGGATTTGAAGAAGGGAAAACCACATCTGAAGACTCCAAGTGACAATATTCTTTCTGTCTAATAATAGTGAATGGCACAAATTAATATATATACATTTCCCCAGGGATTCATGTATAGGTGGCATAAGGTCGCATCACAGGGCCAGCCTCTCCGCCTCCCACACACATCTCCGAAGAGGGAGCATGGTGCAGTGGTGAAGGGCTCAGGCCCTGGCACCAGACCACCTGGCTTAGAATCTTGGCTCTGCCCTGTGTGACCTTGGGTGAGCTACTTAACCTTCCCAAGCCTCAGGGGAATATGGGATAATATTAGTTCACAGAATGAGTTAATACGTGTAACCACAGCATTCGGAACAGTGCCTGGCACACTGGGGCGGGGCTGATCTTTCCGTAGCGCCTGCTGGGTGGCCCCAGGCAGTGGCTGACTTTGCACCTCCCTGGACACCCAAGAGCCAGTGTACCAGTGGTCAGTGTCAGGCCATACCAGAATACAACTTTACACATCCATAAGCAACACACTCAAGGGGCAGACTCAGTGAGCACCAGAGCCCCCCTGAAGCAAGTCCTGCTCCATATGAGGTGTCTCCTGCACAGCAGCTCTCCCACTGCAGCTGCAGCTGTCCTCACAGCCAATTGGCTTGAAGGTCAATTCCTCCCAGTAACACCAACAGCAATCAAATCTCAACTACAGAGACAGTGTTCACAGCCCACAGAGTGGTGCACCTAGAACTCCCAGCTCAGGTGACTGGGGAAGCTGAGCCACTGGGCCCTATAGGACACCTACTATACAAGACCACTCTACCAACTTAAGGAGACATAGCAGTTCTACCCAGTACATAGAAACAAACACAGGAAAGCAGCCAAAATGCAGAGACAAAGAAAAATGTCACAAATGAAAGAAATGGAAAAAAGCAAACTATTGGATATAGAGTTCAAAACCACGGTTATGAGGTTACTCAAGAATCTTCTAAAAACCTCCCCCCAAAAAATGGAAAAGGACCAGTCAGAAATTAAGCAAACACTGACTGAAATAAAGAATAATATATAGGGATTCAACAGCAGACTAGAGGATTCTGAAAACCAAATCAATGATTTGAAATATGAGGAAGCAAAAAACACCCAACCAGAAGAGCAAAAAGAAAAAAGAATCCATAAATATGAAGATAGTGTAAGGAGCCTCTGGGACAACTTCAAGCGTACCAACATCCAAATTATGGGGCTGCCAGAAGAAGAGAGAGAGCAAGATATGAAAACCCATTTGAAGAAAGAATGACAGAAAACTTTCCCTACATGGTGAAAGAAATAGACTTACAAATCCAGGAAGCATAGAGAGTCCCAAACAAGAGGAACCCAAAGAGGACCACACCAAGACACATCATAATTAAAATGCCAAGGGCTAAAGACAAAGAGAAAATCTTAAAAGTAGCAAGAGAAAAGCAGTTAGTTACCTACAAGGGAATGCCTATACGACTATCAGATGATTTCTCAACAAAACCTATGCAGGCCAGATGGGAGAAATATTCAAAGAGATGAATAACAAGGATCTACAACCAAGATTACTCTACCCAACAAAACTATCATTTAGAATTGAAGGTCAGCCGAACCGGTTTGGCTCAGTGGATAGAGCGTCGGCCTGCGGACTCAAGGGTCCCGGGTTCGATTCCGGTCAAGGGCATGTACCTTGGTTGCAGGCACATCCCCACTGGGGAGCGTGCAGGAGGCAGCTGATCGATCTCTCTCATCGATGTTTCTGGCTCTCTATCCCTCTCCCTTCTTCTCTGTAAAAAATCAATAAAATATATTAAAAAAAAAAAAAGAATTGAAGGTCAGATAAAGAGCTTCACAGACAAGAAAAAGCTAAAGGAGTTCATCACCACCAAACCAGTATTATATGAAAAGTTGAAGGGTATTCTTTAAGAAGATGAAGAAGAAGAAAAAGAAAAAGATCAAAAATATGAACAACAAAATGGCAGCAAATACATACCTATCAACAATTGAATCTAAAAATCAAAATAAACAAATAAGAAATCTAATGAACAGAATAAACTGGTGAATAAAACTGAATCAGAGGCATGGAGATGGAACAGACTGACGGTTCTCAGAGGGAAGTGGGGTGGCAGGGAAGGAAGAGATTAAACAAAGATCTTATATGCATATGTGCATTACCTATGGACACAGACATTAGGGTGACAAAGGCCTGGGACGGGGGGAACGGGGTGGAGGGGTACAATGGGAGTTAAAAAGAAGGACATCTGTACTAGTAATAATCTCAATAATAAAGATTTAAAAAATAATAAATAAATAAAAAGTGATGAATTTTACTATATATAAGTTATATTCCAAAAATGGTATCTAAAGAAACTACAGGAATGGGGACAAGGGTACTGTTTACATGACAACATAAAACCAATATGGCAATATTAATATCAGACAAGATAGATTTTTTTTTAATTCAATGCCAGCCCTGGCCGGTTTGGCTCAGTTGGTTATGTGTCCTCCCATGCATCGAAAGGTAACAGTTCTTCGATTCCTTGTCAGTGCACATTTCCGGGTTGCAGGCTCAATCCCTGGTAGGGGGTGTGCAGGAGGCAGCAGATGAATATTTCACTTTCACATCAATGTTTCTCTCTCTCTCCCTCCCCCCCCCCTCTCTCTCTCTAAAAAACATAAATAATAAATAAATAAATAAAGTGATGCATCTGGTCAGTGTAGCTCAGTTGAGCATCGACCTATGAACCAGGAGGTCACAGTCCAATTCTGGGTCAGGGCACATGCCCAGATTGTAGGCTCGATCCCCAGTAGGGGGTGTGCAGGAAGCAAACGATCAATGATACTCTCTCATCACTGATGTTTTTATCTCTCCCTCCCTTCCTCTCTCTGAAATCAATTTTAAAAAACAACTAAAAAAAAAACCACCATATTTTTTAAAATACAATTGCAGTGAAACAAGAAAAAAAATAAGTCAGTGCATGTCAGTGCATGTAGCCATATTAATAGTTGTTTCTCAGTTTGGCATTTAAAGCTGGTAGCATGTGTAGAACAGGAGCCAATTCTAACTGGAAAACAGAATGATGTTCAAAAACCAGTTCTTTTCATCTATGAGCATAGGAGAATTGTGGTGCTGAGAAATAGAGGTTAATTCCATCTGAACAGATTCCATACAAAGCGTTTGGGAGCATGGAGAGAATAGTTTTTAAAAATACAACAGCTTTGACTTTTGTTTTAGCAGTTTTTCTCTTCTCCCTGTGACAATGAGTCTTGTCATTTAGCGTTACCAAGGGGGTCCGGGAAGGGAGAGGAGATTGTTCTGACCCTCTTAGCCGTGGGTTCTTCTAAGCATCACTGTTCCAAGTACATTGACAGGCAAGGAGATTCCCCCCAGAACCAACCCTATGTGCTGTGGGCCTTGAGAGGAGAGGCCTGGTTCTGTTTCCACACAATGTGTGACCTCAGCTGAGTGACTGAACTCTCTGGGCTTTCATTAGTGAGCCTTAAAATGAGAGGCGTGGCCTGGAGCAGACCTCAGGCTCTCAGTCTCCAGTCTGGTGGCTGAGCAGAGGAGGTACGACCCTGCTATCCTGAAGAAGGAAGGCATGACATCTACGAGGTGGTAAACTCTGCCTCCGGACAGGAAGAGAAAGGACAGAGGACACTAATATCTTTTAAGTGCCTACTACGGGCCAGGCAATGATCTGGGCGTTTTGTCTATTTTCATCTTGATTGGTCCCTACAATCATTCTGTGAGGTTGACACGTTCGCAAATTAATGGGTGGAACACTAAGATTCACGGACAGAAAGACAGTCTCCGAGCCTCAGAGCTAGTTAAGTGACCAAGTCATCCTCCTCTCACTGTAAAGATAACCTCATCTGCTCAGCCACCAGACTGGGAACACTTGGTTTCTTTTCCTTGCTGCCATATCTGTCTCTCTGCCTAGACTGTGAGCCGTTCCTTGGGACTGCACCTGGTCATGCCTGTATTCCTCACATGCTGGGCGCTGAATTTTAGAAATAAATTTTTAAAAGACAGATAAAAGTTGAATTAACACATTTATTGATCAAAAAAAGACCAATAAATGTTTCAGCAAACTGGCCCTAATTCGGCACCAGACAACTGCCAAGGCCAAGCCCGAGTGTCCCTCTCTACTGTATTTGCCTGAATGTTGGTGACGCCAGTGACTATCTCCTAGGACAGGAGCATCCTTGCTTTTTCCTCCCTGCTGGCTGGAATGAGGACATCCTGGCTGGAGACCCAGCAGTCATTCTGAACCACGAGGCACCATGGAAGTGGAAGGCAGGCTGCATGGTAAGAGCAATGAGGCACAGGGGCGTGGGTCCCTGACCCCACTCTCCCTTCGGACACACTGCCTCAAACTTCTAGAACACAACACAGAAATAAGCTTCCTTCTTGAAGCCACTGTCACATTTTTCTGTAACTTGACATTGAACACAACCCTAATTAACAGACTGTGTCCAAGTCTCTCCTATGGAATCCATCTGGCACCAGCACTGAATTCAGTCTTCCCAACACAGTATCACGCTTCTCACGCTCCTACTCAAAAACTGTCCATGACTTTCACATACCATTAAGATAAAAATCTAGATTCCTTAGCTTATTAGTCAAAGCCCCATAATCCAGCCCTGTGTTACAATGCTAACCTCAAAACTCTCCCCCCACCCGCCCCACCAACACACACACACACACACACACACACACACACACGTTAACCCTCAATTCCAGCCCAGTAGCTCTACACAATGCCCCTTACTTTTTTTTAATATATTTTATTGATTTTTTACAGAGAGGAAGGGAGAGGGATAGAGAGTTAGAAACATCAATGAAAGAGAAACATCGATCAGCTGCCTCCCGCACACTCCCCACCCGATATGTGCCAGCAACCAAGGTACATGCTCTTGACCGGAATCGAACCTGGGACCCTTGAGTCCACAGGCCGATGCTGTATCCACTGAGCCAAACCGGTTAGGGCTGCCCCTTACTTTTTGCTGGTTGGATTGAGTTATGACAACTGAGATAATGGGTAGGTGAATATGGTACCTTATGTGGCAAAAGGGACTTTGCAGCTATGATTAAATGGAAGACCTTGAGATGAGAAATTAGTCTGGATTATCCAAGTGGGCACAATATAGTCACAAGGTCTTTATAAGAGGGGGATGAAGGGGCAAGGGGAGGAGAGAGGGGGAGAAAGAGAAAGATGGGGAGGTAGAAAGGAGGGGGAAGGGAGAGGAAGACAGGGAGATAGGAAGTTGCTGTCTTTCGAAGATGGAGAAGAGGCTAGGAACCAAGAAGAATAGGCAGTTTTTAGAAGCCGAAGGGTAAGGGAACAGACTTCCCCCAGAGCCTCCAGAAGGAACATAACCTTGCCAGCACCTTCCTTTTAGCCCTGGGAGACCCATCTCAGACTCTGACCTCCAGAACTGCAGGAGAATAGATTTGTGTTGTTCTTAAGCACAAAGTTTACGGTAATTTCTTACAGCAGCCATAGGAAACTGAGGCAATAACCTAAAACAGTAATGGGGGATTCCAATGGGGAGTGAGCCACCCTCTCCAACGGTAGATAAAGGTTCCTCTGACAATTCGCTTCGAAGAACTTTCCAAAAATGCTTGCTCTGCCACTGACTTTACATGCAGATATTCTGGTAGAATTTTCAGTTTCAACCTACTCGCTCTGAGCATTACTACACACGGGTGAATTAATTCATATTATCTCATTTAACCCTCACACCAATCCTAGGGCACAGATAATAGCACGCCCATTTGATGGATTACACAACTGAGGCTCGGATAATAATATGTATAGCTAGTAAATATTGAGCACTTAACTCTCAGCCAGGCACTAAGTATTTCATGTGTGTATTTCAGTTAAATTAGTGTGTTAACTAATTTAATTCTTCCAACAATCCCAGTCCCTATTTACAGATAAGAAAACGGAGGCACAGAGACTTTTCAAAATCCTTACAGGTGGTGACTGGCAGGACCCAGACTGGAACCCAGGTCCTTCTGGTGCCAAGATCAACATGATGCTCTGGGTTGTACCCCCGCTACCTCTCATCCCTGTCACCATCATTCCCACTCATTCCAGACGACAACAATGGCGGAGGCCTCTGGGATGGAGCCCAGCCCTGCCTTTCCCTCTGAGTCCCCTTCGGGGCCCTGCTGAGTAAGGAAGTGGTGGCTGTCTGCTGAGCCACAGGGCAAGGTTCAAAGTGACCTCACGGCTGTAGCTCCAAGGGAAACTGGTTCCTGGAAGGGCTTCCCTGGCCTGTTTGCTAGCAACAGTGATGCCATGGTCCACTCCCAACTTGGCACCTCAGCCCCCCTGTTCCCCTGAGCCTCCCCAGTTACTCCCATAGGCAGTGGGGGCTCCTGCGCTTCCCCAAGAACGGGGAGTCCCAGGGGAGGGCTCTCTCAACGGGGCATGTGCTGCAGACCAAGGTCCAGGAAAGCACTAGGGCTCTCGCCCACTTGACTGCTCTTTTTTTTTTAATTTAAGTTCTTTATTGTTTAATGTATTACATAAGTCTCCTTTTTCCCCCATTGACCTCTCCCTGGCAGCCCCAACCCCCAGCACATGCCCTCAACACCCCCCCCATCTGTGTCCATTGGTTATGCTCGTATGCATGCATACAAGTCCTTTGGTTGATCTCTTACCCCCTCACCCCCTGCTCTCCCTCATAGGTTGGACAGTCTATTCCAGTGGTCGCCGACTGGTGGTCCACGGACCACTGGTGGTCTGTGAGGTCTGAAAGGTTGGCGACCACTGACTATTCGATGCTTCTATGACTCTGGTTCTGTTTTTGTTCATCAGTTTATGTTGTTCATTGGCTGCTCTTAAACTCAACTCTCACCCTGGGGTCCTCTCCTGTCCTCTCTCGCTGCCACCCCCCTTCACACCCAACACCTTGCAAAGGCCAGCGTTTGCACCCACCACACCCTCTTGTGCCTGCTTGTCCCGGGGCCTGACCCTTTCCCCATCCCCACCCCGGCCTCACCTTCTGCCTTCTCTTAGGCACCAGTCAGAGCTGTTTCTAAGCAAACAGTGGGATTTCTTTCTAGAACTTTCAACAACTTTCTTATTCCTTCTCTATCTTCCAAGGGGCCATCATCTATCTCCTTTTCTTTAAATCTTGGGCCTCATTGCAACTACCTCTTACTGACAGAGATGTAAGAGCTTCTGGCACGACCACCATCTGAGGGACCTGGGAGGTGGGCCCCACGCTGGCACCTCCAGCGAGTGAGCACAGGCCCCAGTGGCTCCACGGCGGACTGGGGAAGCCAAGAATCTTGCAGCCTGGCAAACTGGGGGCCGGGGGCCGAATTCTACCGGCCCAGATAACCGTATAAACAGAGAGGGAAATAGAGGGCGAAGAGCCTCCAGCCTCTGCTTTCTCCACGGGGGAGTGAGTCTAAGGGACCGAGCGTCAGGGCCTGAGAGGAAACTTTCCAAACCATAAACCCATCTCGGTATCTGGACAGGGTTTTATGACGCTGTCACTTTGAAAGCAGGCAGGGGGAACTGTGCAAGCGTGGACTCCTCATGGAAAACTCCAGTTCAACGCATGCGGTTTATCTGCCGCCTTCATGGCCGCAGGGGGAGGCCGTCCTCCTGAGCTTGGAGAGGGGTGACTGCTCCGAGGAACTGCTGGCTTTTTCTGGAAAGGCAGGTGATGGAGCTCACCCCCTAACCTTAGGGTGTACCTGAACTGTTCTGAGGACAATCCTCACAGCCCTGTGGGTACTATCCCATTAAACGGATGAGGAGACTGAGGATAGGGGAGCTGGGTCACTCCAAAGTTACTCACCCAGGCCACCTGGGCAGGCCAACCTCAGAGCCCTGCTCCGACCCGCGCAGCTTCGTGGTTGCCTCTCGGCTGCCCCGCACCTGGGAGGCCGGTTAAACGCACCTGGTGCGGATGCCTCCTCGCGCCGTGGTCACGGCGATTGGGAACTGTGTGCAGGTGGGCGGGCGAGTTCCTGAGGAGCCACCTTCCCGTGCTTCCAGTCCTGGGCACCTTTTCTGCCCCTTCCAAACTGTCCTCGGGGTTTCTAGCCAACTACCCGGCAGTGCCCGCCCTCCCTCTCCTTTCTCCACAAGGACGGGGAGCTGGCGCTTCAGCTGCCGCGGGGATCGGCTCCATCCATCCGACTGGCCGGCTCAACAAGTCTCCCTTCCTCGGCGCATGGAGACCAGGTCGGGTGCCCCCGCGGCGGGACACAGCGCCCCCACCGGGCCCTGCGAGGGGCCGCTGCGCGGTGCGCCACGCGCAGGAACGCGCCCAGCTCGCCCGGCCGGGGTGGCCTGG